TATATATATATATATATATATATATATATATATATATATATATATATATATATATATATATATATATATATATATTTTAGACATTTTGAAAATAGTGTAGTAGAAATCACAAGGCAATAAAACTGATAGGAGATGACAAAGCCCAGGCATGAATTTTTAATAGGCACTTGTCAGCGGTCGACTTTAAAAAAATCAATCAATCAATGTTTAAAAATGAAATCAAAAATAATTTGTCGTAAAAGTTATCTCCCTCTTTCTTCTTTTGCTTTCAAATTTTGTGTGCGAAAAAGTTTAAATGTGTATTCTACTAAGGTTATTGCAAAGATCAAAACGATGCTGGCGACCAATATTCCCAAATAAATCACAAACGTTATCTTAAATTATCGATACGATTTTCTCTAATTTTGATGCCTTCACTAGGAAATGGATAGAGGTATCTTTTAAGTGTGACGCAAATTAGTTGGAAAAAATTTACTTTTGGTTCGAATTACATAGTACTTTTTTCTAATCCTTGAGATACAAATGAATGAGGAAAGCATTCAATTATGACGTCATAAGACACATATCTAGCTTCTCTACATAGAAGTTTAAATATTCACCGTAGCAGAAAAGAAATAATTCCTTCGTCGGAGGAATTGTGCGAGAAAATGCTCCTGTGTTTAAATATTGTACAATTTTTCTTTTGTTGCCACCAAATATTCCGAAAACATAGACAAATTTTATTCAAAGAACTTTCCCAAAAATGGAACCTTCAATAATGTATGTTGGTTGGTTGTAATGTTTAGAGAGAGAGAGAGAGAGAGAGAGAGAGACCATTTTTGTCCTTGATAACGTCACTTTCCACTATTTCAGTTTGTTTTCTGTTTTTCGACAGGAGACTTTTGTCAACAGCAGCGTATACAACAACATCCGGCTGGGAATCGTCTGGTTCTGGGACTGAAATACATTTACGACTCAATTAAATATGTGAAATATAAACTGACTAATGCATCTTATTATTCACCAGTTGTTGTACGAAGTCAGGTAAACCAAGCATCTGCACATCTCAATTTTCAACTTCCAATAAATTCCCTTGCATATAACATGCTGCTTTCTGGAGAATATTTTTTTCTATTATTTATTGGCATCTTATATAGATTCTACTGAAACATGTGAATATTTTAGAAATAAGCAACATTTGTCTGCATTAAATATAATATGTTTACATGGGGTTGAGTTGTATAATTCAGACAACGTTTATAAGAAAAAAATATAACCTCATTCTCATCATGAAACCTGTTGAATTCTAGATGCTCAATATTCATGTACTGAGAAGAGCTTAATAACTTATTAATTTCACAGCCTTGTCAATTGGTATCTGTCATGTTCATTCCAATATTAGGGTTCAAGCCACGGCTTCGACAGACCTAAATCGGTAAAAAAAGTAGAAACTGTTCCTTCGCCAATCGCTCGGCACTTTAAAATGAAGGCCCCGTTTCACGGTAGGAATTTGATCAATAAAGAACCCTCACTGCTAAATGGTCCTGAATACCGAACATAGATCTCATTCGTAAGCCCTTCACCGGTTTATGGTGACATCTCTATATAAGGGGAAAATTCTTGAATAGAACGTAAAATATGCTATATCAATCGATCAATCAATCCAAAACTCAAAATACTTATACCCACTTGGTTTATCATCGCTGTCTTGTTTCTTCGTCGCTGCCTTTTTCTTTAGGAAGTACTTCGTAATCACTACAGCCAGAAGAATCAGGACAAGGATAATACCAGCTACGGACGCTCCAATCACAATCATTATTGTATTATCCTTGGGAGGGGAGGATGTGATAGGCAAGGCTAAAAATTAAAGTTATAACTTCGGGATCTATAAATGGAATACAAGACTATTTCATTTATCATTATATGTATTGCACTTGAAAAAATGAACTTGGGTCAAGATCATTACATAAACTTTTTCATGAAAAAATAACCTCAGTCGTTTCCTATGTGGAAAGGTATAAATCAGAGACAAATTTTAACTTTAACTGGAGCGTCCCCAAATGACCTTGAGTTGTTCATTTCACATCTTGATAGGCACTCTCTTTTTATTTCATCTTCCATTGTTTCTCACGTAGAAAATTTGGCAATGACAGGAATAATATATATAGTTTCTTAAACTTTCACTTCAAATAACCTTGATTTAGTTTTATGAAACACACCTATTATTTTGTGTGACACATGAAACTCCTATTGTTGTACATTCAAACGTTATGACCTACACACAGACTGTACGCTTATTTCGCCCTTGTGTAAATGTCCCTGGGCAAAGATGATCAACACCCTAAGGATATAAGCAAATATATCCTACAAATATATATCTGTTAGAGTTATCGTTGAGACAAGAATACTACACGGACAGTCGAATAGGAAGAAAGACAATCAGATACACAGATGAACAGATACATTCTGTGCACCCACCTTCGTATTTGGGGGATAAATAAATCGCACTAAAATTGTACATTTATTTACTGCAGTCTATCTTAGACAAATCCAAGTCAAAAATGCTTCTAGAATGAAAGTAATACGATTAAAAATTACTACACGATATGTATGTACGTTTACCTTTACAATCAAACGCAAATCCTTTAAATTTTGAAAAATTTTGAACTACTATGGTGCTTTTTTCTCTATCTTTATAAAGGTACGTAGGGTAATGAAAAGGATACCTGGTACTATGACCTTTACTGTCTCTGGGCTTAAAGAACAGTTGATTCTATTACAACTCTCCAGTTGGTACCGATATTCCTGTCCTGGGTTTAAAGGTCCTATCTCATAATACACCATACTACCTTCTCCAGGGTCTGTAAGATTTGAAACTTTTATCCATTCGGACCCTTCTTTGCGTGACAAAATAAACGACTGTTCTGGTCCGCCGTTAAAATTCGATACCCAGGTCATATTAATGAAACCAGTATCAAAAGAACTCCATTGAAAGTTCAAAGGTGACTGAGGTCTGTCTAATAAAGTAGAGTGAAAGAAGGGATTAAAAGTTACTTGCATCATTCAAATGTTAAATATCGAGAATAGTTCATATTGATACAAATATTGAAATGTCTTATCTAAGATAAAGTATTAGTTAAGGCATCGTCAAAGTATATGTCTTCCAATAGCATTATAATTTTATGATCATGATGATTGAACTGCTAAATATAAATCTGCAGCCAAATAACACGACTTAAGGCATTCACAAACAAATATTAATTAAAAATGAAGAAGGGACAAACAGTATATGAATAATGATAAACATCCAATCGAAACTATCAGAAAGTGAAAAACATAAAACAAAGGAATTCAACCTTCAGCATTGATAGTTATATTGACGATGGTTTTCCCATGGAACATCAGTGAGTAGTTTCCAAAAGATTTCTGATCAGGAATGGGAATGGTGCTGTTAATCCAGTGTTTGTAGATAAACCTGTCTCTTTGTACAATTGTAGTTGTTATATTCGGATGTCCAGGTCCGCCCCATGATATTCTTGCTTGAGAAGGAGAAGGATTTGCAAGCACGGGCATTGCGACAAGAACTTTGACATCTTGACCACTCATTGATCCATATTTAGTCTTTAAGGACACAGTCGTATCAAGTCGAGGCTCACCTAAAAAAATGTTATACTTGAAACATATTTCATAAAGTGCCTGTTCACAGACTTAAAAGTTATCTCTTGGTGCCAGTACAAAAAGGCGAGGGAATAAATCTGTAAATCACTTTTTATTCGCGAGAAATTTATTTTCGCGTAATTACACGCGTCTATCTGCTAGCTAATATTTATTCTCACGTATATTTTTTAATGGAGAGGATTATATATCACAATAATCTCAGTTCCCAAAAACTTTGCCTATTAAGAACAGTAGTTATCTCGCGTAATTAAGGTATCGCAAAAATATATCAACCTACAGTACACAGTTAAACTAAATGTATATCATTGAGGGAGTTAGATAGATGCTAGTTCCCTTAGGCCAGGACCTTTCCTGATGTGAATGTTTAACTGAATGCGTAGCTTTATACATATTTAAATTCATTAAGTGTTCATCTTTCATATTCAAAAGTAAATGGGGTGGGTGGGGCGTATTATGGATGACAGTGAATTAACTTTCGAAGCAGGGATTAGCTTGACTTACGCACGGCAAAACGGGGAAATGAGTATATTCAAAGAGACTGATATGAAATACTGCCTATCAAACAAATGTTTATTTATCTGTGGGAAATCTTTACAGGAATAATTTTAAATTATATCCTACCTCATGACATGGGACATTTTCTGATAATGGTTTATGTACCAACATACCTGCATATAAATGAGCATTCCTTGACAAACCATCTAGATCAAACCTCCCATATTTCAGTGGGTCCGTGTTTTATGCCCAGTTCACTGATTTATATTGTTTGTTTTTTTTAACGATCCCTGCTCGTTATTCTCTTCACCTTTTTCATTGACAAGTAAATACACAGGGAAAAGTGGCTCGCATGAACTTCATATAAAATTCGCACGAATACCATGCGAATTCTTTGCATGAGAAGGAGACGAAAAGGACCACGCATGATATTCGCACGAAAATATCATGCAATTTTCACATGAAATTCACACGAATATCATGCGAAAAGAAAATCGCACGAAATTCATGTGAAAAAAAGAACCCAGGTTTCATATGAATATCATGCGAAGACAAGCATATTTTTTGTACTCCAGATATTAATATCAAGCTATTATCTATGAGTGCACCAAACCTAATCCATTAATTCTATCCTTCTTCCTTGGAAACAGAATTTTTGCTTCTTGCAAATGAAGTTTTCTTGAAAAATTCTCTTTTTCTTACTTAGTCAGTTAATCCAGACACAAGTAATGCATGATTATACAAAAAGTAACTTTGAATTTGAAAGAATCAAAACTTGTTTTCTGGACTCCCTGACTAAATAAAGACATCTGTGACATCAATTTCTACATTGAAAACTAAAACAATTGATCTTTTTCTATCTTCTTTATTGAGGTTCTCATCACATAAGATTTCTTTATCTTGAGGATTCTGTTGAGAGGGTGTTGTCGTTATAGCTGAAAATACAAAAGTAAACAATCTCAGGTTATTGAAATTCATAATGGACAATATTTTTTTTAAATTAACTATGACTAAAACCCTAGGCCCTTAAGTAGGATTAATACCTCTTGGTCATAATCACCTGTATGCCAAGTATGTTCTCCAGATACTACTCCAATAAAAAGTTGCATTTTCTGAGATACTTCTATCAAGTCTATGACCTTGACCTTGTCTTATGACCTCTGTTCTGGAAATGGCATATCTTATGATCATTATCAACCATTAGGGCAGTATGATCTTTGGGAGTTACTTTTTTCAATATACAATTATGTTATGGCCAAGAATTTAAACTTCAATTCCTGTTACCTCTACATTGCTTAAATGACCAACAGGCAGGGTTGTTTCACTGCCTCTAGTCATAATTAAGCAACCTTAAAGACATATCTAGTTCAAATTACCCTATGTTAGTCTTGGGATATACCTTTGAGTCACAGGCGAGTTTTGTCTCAGGTATGTCTACTGTGTTTCCATTATAGAGTTGTGAATGAAAATAATTTAATACATTTGTACCCTTTTGACCTTGAACATATCTAAAATGCCCTTGATACTGGGTCAAGACTCATCTCTGGACACAAGCTACCTTTCTATCAGTTATGAGCCTAAGATTGTTTTCTTGGTTACAAAGTCATGTTCAAATAAGAATTTCATTCTCTTATTCCTCTTTTTAAAAGTTTGACAAATCAGTCTGTAAATTCCTGTTACCAGTTAGTTCATATGTAATTACAAAGTGTAGGGAAAAAACAAGATGTGTTTGTGAAACACTGATGCCCCCGTATAGCAGCTTATGGTGAAGGTTAAACTTTCTCAAATGCAAGTCAAACTGCAAAGTCGAGAGATCAAAAATGCCCAAGCACAACCATTCAAAAGTTATGGTCAAGGTTAATGTTTTCTAAAATGGGCCAAACTCCAAGGTCAAGGTCAAAGGGTCAAAATTAATGGTATTCAGGGGGAAGACCTTGTCATAAGAAATATACATGCAGAATATAAAAGCCCTAGCACCAACAGTTCAGAAGCTATGGTCAAGGTTAAAGTTTTTCAAAAGTAGGTCAAACTCAAAGGGCAAGGTCAAAATTGTTGATATCCAAAGGAAGGTCTTGTCACAAGGAATACACTTGTGAAATTTGAAAGCCCTAGTACTAACTATTCAAAAGTTATGGCCAAGGTTAAAGTTTTTTAAAAGTGGGTCAAAAGTTATAGCCAAGGTTAAAGTTTTTTAAAAGTGGGTCAAACTCTATGGTCAAGGTCAAAAAAGTAAAAAAAGTCAAAAATATTTACACCCAAGGAAAGGTCTTGTCAGGATAAATATACATGTGAAATCTGAAAGCCCTAGCACCAACTGTTCAAAAGTTATGGCCAAGGTTAATGTTGGGTAAATTTTTACAAAAGTGGGTCAAACTCCAAGGTCAAGGTCAAATATGTTGGTACCAAAAGGAAGGTCTAGTCAATAAATACACATGTGAAATATGGACGGACGGGGCAAAAACTTATATACCCACGACTCTTCGATTACCAGGGCATTATTATAAAGTGGTTTAAAAGATAATTTTCAGACAAAACATGGCTACAGACAGACAAACAGACATGGTGATTCCAGGACACCCTTACAACTTCTTTGTAGGAGCTAGTATATAACTTTATTGTAGGGGCAAAAAAGTTTTAGCTTTTACCAATAATATATGGCCCAGTGATCTTGACTTTTGAGATAATTCAATGTTTTACTACACCCACATCACTGTTTTCGTTATCCCTAAATGCTCTCCCATTGGAAAATGGTTAGTCTGTACATTTCTGTTAAAACTTGAATTTCCTTAATGAGTTGTGCTAACTGGCCAAGTTTGCAATGGTTAAAATTGGCATTTAGGTGTTATTCTAGAGAATGTAATACGTACGTCTGGAAAGTGCAAAAGTTTACAACAACAGACAGACAAGTTTTGACAGTAAAAAGTTTACTAAAGCTTCTGGCTTAGATGGAATAATTAAATTAAATATGTTCAGCTTAATGTCAAATTTAAATTGTCAAAAAAAAAATCATACATGTATTTACTTACATGTACCATTGACAAATCTGTTTGCATGTATCTTCTGAGGATATTGGTACTCTGGTATTTGAAGCTGTGATGACATGCTAACTGTGCCTACAGTGAAAATTAAAAAATGTCAGATACTGTCAATTCAATAGCATTTGGTTAATTATCTCCTTAGTACTACTGCATTTTTATGCATTTATTCTATAAATTAGCAGAATATATTTAAGAATTAGATAAGCAGAAATAACCTGAATGCTTATGGTTCTGCTAGTCTGATTCAAATAATTCACAGGAAAACAAATCCTGCTTTTCTGCGGCCTAAAATCCTGATTTTCTGCAATTATATTTTTGCTTTTCTATGTTTGATCTTCTGTTATGGCCCCACCCTACCCCCAGGGGACATGTTTTGAACAAATTTGAATATACCTAACCTTACCTGAGGATGCTTCTGAATTTATATGGCTAATCATGGATTTGCAATTCTTTGGAAGAAGATTTTTAATGATTTCTCCTATGTATTCTCATTTTAAACTTTGATCACCAATTATGGCCCCTCCCTACCCCTAAGGGGACATGATTTGAACAACCTTGAATGTAAACTATCAAGGATGCTTCCATAGAAATATGTCTAATCACTGCTTAACTGTTCTTGAGAAGAAAATTTTTCACATGTATGCCTAACATAAAAATTTGATCACCCATTTAGACCCTCCCACCCCCCAGGGGTAATGAATTGAACAAACTTTAATCTATACTACCTGACAATGCTTTCATATAAATATGACCAATCATGGCTTTGCTGTTCTTGAGAAGGAGATTTTTAAAGATTTTTTCTATACACTGTATATATATTTCTATGTAAAAATTTGTTCACTCATTGTGATCCCACCCTAGCCCCGGAGGTCATGGTTTGAACAAACTTGAATCTACACCACTTAAGGATGCTTCTTCATAAAAATCACCAATCATGGCTTAACTGTTCCTGAAAACAAGAAATTTTAAAGATTTTTCATGTTTTCCTGTGTAAAACTTTGATCACCCACTGTGGCCCCACCCTATCCCAAGGGGTCATGATTTGAACAAACTTGAATCTACATTATGTCAGAAAGCTTTCACATAAGTTTCATCTTTCTGACCCAGTGGTTCTTGAGAAGAAGATTTTTAAATATCCACACCCAATTTTTACTATTTCTTACTTATCTCCCCTTGGAAAGAGGGTATGGCCCTTCATTTGAACAAATTTGAAACCCCTTTACCATAAAGGATACTCTGTATTAAGTTTGGTTGAAATTGGCCCAGTGGTGGAGAAGAAGATGAAAATGTGATAAGTTCTTGACAACAATGACAGACGACGGACAAATTTTAATCAGAGAAGCTCCCTTGAGCCTTTGGCTCAGGTGAGCTTAAAACCAATCATGGAAAAGCAGCATGGAGTAGTCGCAGAAAAGCAGACAGGTTGCAAAAATAAGATGGGGGGAAAAGTATGTCAGCCACTTCATCATAAATAACAACATTATTTATATATATTGATGTATACCTTTGCAATAAATATTTTATTCTAGATTTTTTTTACCTGTTTGCATGTAACATATATGTATAATCTTTGAGAAGCTATCAGTGTGGTATAGTGGGGGACCATCTGCTCATTTTCTAGCAAATACCTGCAAGTTAAGAATACAACATTTTAGTAAATATTTCTCAAACATGTCATTAGTAAACACAAAATAGAATATACAGTACAACTCATTTACAGGGAAGTTACTCGGACTTGCTTTCTTATAATTAAGCTTCTTTAAATATCTGCATGTATTTTGGAAAGCATAAAAGTTTAACTCCTAAAACAACTGAGATTTACCTCTTTTTATGAGAACTGAGTTCTGTTGTATTTTCAATTTAAAATGTATAGATATGTTTACAGTGGCATTAGTGCTCCTAAATAAATACTTTTTATCTCTAGCTCAATCAGAAACCCATTGATTTATTAGCTATATAACATTACTGCTTTTATTAATATTGCAAACAGAGCGTCAAACTTCAAACTTGATGAATTATAAACATTTTTTATATCTATCCCCATTTATAATTAACCTCCTAGTGTTTTTAAAACACTGAATTTATCACAGCACACCCCAATGCCTGCCCTGGTGGCAAAAAGATCAAAGAAAACATTATTCTTTTCACTCTTTAAGTCTTGACCTTTTGGTTAAGTGATTATAGTGAATTGTACCAAATAGGAAGAAAAAAAAGACCCCACAAAGGGACACAACTCATTTACTATTTGCAAACTAGTGAACATGAACTACAGTGTATCTAAACAGATGTGCCCCCACTGTGCATGTCATTAGTACATTGTAGTAATTATATAAATATCATGGTTCTATATATAGAGAGAGTAACCTCTTTTTGATTGGTGGTGATGGGTGAATGTGAGGTGTAAAGGAGAGTATGGAGAGGAAGAAATAGGGATTAGGTCGGATTCAGACAGAGGAAGATAAAGGAAATTCAAAATAGTAGAGTTGAAGGGATGGGAGCTAGGAGAAGGATAAATTAAAGACCCACCCCGCTTTTTTCCAGGCCACCCTTCCATTATGTATCTATTTATAGAACAAAATGATTGACTTACAGTCTGATTAAAAAAAAATTAGCTATATCCTAATATACATGTATAACTTTACAGTGCTGTATATTGCTTGGTGAGGTTTACACCAGACCCAGGTGCAACAGGCAAAGAGTGCCTGTGCCAGGTCCATCTTATTTCAACATATCTATTTATTAAGCTGTCAGCATACATGTATATTGCCAATAAATTATATTACATTCATCTGTGATAAAGGAGATGATAAAAATATGACAAACTTACAGAAAATATGCAGTTGAATTTACTCTGCTCTTTCTTGTCTGCTTTCTCAGCCGCATCATGACGTAATATGTGACGTACGGCATTCCATAAAAAAACTACTTTTGGTTTCGTAAAATAAGTGTATACCCCGTAGTCATCAAAGTTCCGACTTCGACGCGGAAATACATTTTCAAAATAAAGATTTAAAGGACAAAAATTATAGTTATTTAGATATTTCCCGATTCTGTGATGAATACGAAATGGACTGGCAGATTTAGCCAGGTTCTACTTGCACTTCCTGTTACAGAAAAAACGAGTGTACCCCCCTGTGGCTTTTTCCAGAGTTTCCTTTGGGATTTATGTGCTCTAATCCCTTGAAACGACGGTGAATATGTATGTACTGTTAATTGTTTGTCATATTTTGTGTTTAAAATGTAGATTCTTATTGTTATTCATTTTGCAACGAAAATTTTCAGAATAAATTCGGATCTCGTTTTCGTTTCAGGTTCAACAGTTCAACGTAACACGGCCAGGTGAATCGAATGGTTCCGTTTCATCGAAGTCATAATGAAGTTATGCATTTTTTATGCTAAGCGACATTTATTTGAAGGCTTTACTAAATTTTGAGTAAGTAATTAACATTAAAAGTGATTTTTAATTGTGTATATTGTTCTGACACATGTGCAGAGACTTGTAAACACGACTTTTACAGTGTATCACAAAAACTATTTTAGGACGCAGGTCCCACAAAAGATCCAATTTTCTTGGGGATTAATCTCACAAATGTGACGGTTATGAATGAAAAAAATTCCTTGTAATAATTAAACTGTTGCAATTGATATATTCTGATTATTTTATGCAGATTTAAAAAATCCATATTTTCAGCATTATAATGTCTGTAAAACTCATAAATCCAATTGGAATATCATAACTAAAATGGACTATTATATCTAATTTGGACAATAGGTTCCAATAACAACCTTATACAGTGTTTTCCCTTTATTTCAAAGTAAAGCATTAGAGATCAATTGTATCTGGCTTTGGGTTGATGTTTATGACAAATCTCTGTGGACCTTACAACAATTAAATTTTATTTTATTTTTTTTTATTTCAAAGCGGCATTTTTATCAATTGAAGCGATTAATTTGGCCAGTAGCTGGTTCTTAGGGAAATCACTACTTATATAGAGAGTTGCATGGTCAATAACATGTTCTGATGTCTGACATATGCCTCTATTGTGCAGTTATTAATGTACAAAACACAGGGTCTTCTGTTTTGCTCAAAACATGAAATACCAGTGCAGTTTAATATAAACAAGTTGACAAAACACGGACCTTTCAGGTGATAACATGGAATTTACTGTATGTAATGACAGATCCTATTCAGTAATTATAGGAGTTAGCCCCTTTGACTGAAACAATTGGAATATCAGGATGGGTAGTTAATAAAAAAATTTATGATTTAATTTCTTTGTAGGAAATGCTTGTAAGGACAAAAGACTGAAAAAAACTGAAAAAGACTGAAAAACTGCCTTTAAACACAGCCATCATTAATGTAAATGGATTCATAAGGAGCATCCAAACAATATGATATTAGGATCATCAGAGACTGGCAATTTTTTACCACTCACTGTGATAGATGCATCTAAATAAACATTGAAATGTTAAATTTTTTTGTTCATTGCTTTTCCTCATATGTTATTAATATTGCATAATATTCTTGTGAATATCGCATGATTTTCACACAAAAAACAGACAAAGTGGAATTCGCATGGATATCATGCGAAATTTTAGTCGCATGAAAATCGCATGAATTTTGCATGAAATTTGTGTGATAACATTCGCATGAAATTCGCATGTGGGACTTTTCGCATGATTTTTGTATGATTTTCGCATAAATTTCATGCGAAAAGGCAAACGCATAAAAATTATGCGAGCCACTTTTCCCTGTGTATATATATTTTTTTGTTTTTTGAAGCAAAATTTATTAAAAAACAAAGGAAAATATTTTGTAGTCTGACCTACAAATTCCATTTATTATAGGATTAAACGTTCTTTTTTCAGAATTTATCGATGTGTAAATTCATGTCTTTGTACTCACAAACTGAATAAAAGTGCGAAGCACTTTTATGTAAAGTTTGTGAGTACAAAGGCATGAGTTTACACATCGATAAATTCTGAAAAAAGAACGTTTAATTCTTATAATTCCAAGTTTTTAAAATTATTTTAAGTTTTAAAATTATTTCTCTTTGAAGCCTCCATACAATCTGTTATTTCTGTACAGCGTAGGAATACTTTATGCCGCGATGTGGAAATGAATCGCAATCGAGATAAACGTCGATAAAGTTCAATTTTAATTGTCAAAACATTTAATAAAATAAGCTTATAAAAACTCTTCGAATATTGTTTAAGTTAACAAATATCGTAAATACAAGTAGACTTCAAAAGAAGTCGTCCTTGATCACGTTGACAACATAACGACAGACGCTCTTAAACGAAAATAGCAAACCGACGACAACCTTGGTTTGCTCTGGTTTGTTCAAAGACGGGACAGAATATAGGATGTAGAAAAATGAATTTGATGCTAATAAGGCAAGAGTCTAAGGTACGTTTCTCTTTCCTATCACAGCGCTACCGAGAACTGAGCTGATTTGTTTTGTAGGTCTATTAGGAACGTCGAGAATATGACTTCAGAGATTTAAAATTCAAACTCGTGATCTGACAGTGACATGAACATAATATTCCCGTCTGTCAGTCCTGTATGTCGTCAGTTTTGTTTTTATTTAATTACAATTTTCTGTAATTGTTTAGCTAAAACACAGAATAGAAGTAACGATTTGTTTCATTTTTTTTACAATAAAAGCTAGGTCAAGAAAGTAGTTCTGATTGAGAATTTATCGATGTGTAAACTTTTTCTTGAATTTGTTCTCGTCCAATCAAAACACAGGAAATCAATAAGTAAAATTAAGATTGGAATTATTGGTAAATAATTTATGAAGAAAACATCTTTTATTTTTGTTACAAAGACTTGGAGAACTTACAGTGGACATTCAAAGTAAATTCCGTAGATACGTTCCCAAGTTGAGATGATTTTCCAGTACATGTGTAGGTGTCCGTGTCAGAACAATTAGTGTTTAGTATTGTGTGATTCCGCCAGTGCTTGTTTTTGGCTCCAAGGATTTTGTCATGTAAAGATCTGGTGAGATTGATTGTAGGGATGGGATTGCCATCCACATAACACGATATGTGGAGATATTCACCTTCTGTGATGTTAAGCCTATTATCACTGCTACCATTTAGTAGGATTTTTGGTTTCAAAATATCTACAATAAAAGTTCTTTGTGCAAAGTGATAAAGTACAGAGTTTCATAAAAACGTCTTCTTCTGTTTAATTTTATTGCAGTTGTTTGCTTAATTATTTTCCATGTATTTTGATTTATATATTTCCTTCATGAAATATATTCATTTCAAAATGATTACATTAACACCTAAAAACATTGCATTTGTTCCGTCTTAAAATATGGATATGAAACATGTTACCTCAAAGAACAGACATAATAAAACTTAAGTTGAAGTTTATGTCATAGGTTTTTTAATATACTTACACAGTATGTTTAATACGATGTTCTGTTCATTACGTCCTTCACTGTTCTTTGCTATACATTGAATCTGGGTCATTTTGCTTCTGTTAGCTTTTTGTTCCAATAAAGTTGTTGATGAAAAATCAGAGCGTGGTGCATCTACAAAATGGCCTGATGTATTCTTATATTTCCATTGTAAGGTACAAGGTGGATTACAGTCTGCTGAACAGTTGTACGGACCAAATGTATCGCCTTCCTTTATTTTTAGTCTACCTCCGTCATCAGTAGGACGAAGTGGTGTTATTTTAACAATTTCCGGACCATCTGTTAAAAGAGAAAAGCTTGCCTAAAAACAGTTTCATACATTTTGTTATTGATAAAAATTCAGCGCTTCCTATAGGTAGGTCCCTAGATGAATTACGCTATCATTAGTAGTAATTTTACAATTATCTGAAAATTAAAAAAAAAAAACTTAATTAGAGAGCGTCTAAAGAAATTTTCCAGATCTTTAATGAAATATAAAATGGTCTTGCCCTCAAATTTTTTGTTATTTTTGCACAGTTTTAAAACTTCTTAAATATTTGATTTTATTTTCTACATGTACGCAATTCAGCTTCTGTCATAAACTGATTCCTCGAAAACAAACCATTGTCTTCCATCAGCTTATATTTGCTTTAACCTTATCTAAATTTAGAGTAAGGTACGTAATACATAACAAAAACATTTGATGCAAATAAAGAAGGTATTATTAATTTTTTTTGTTAGTGAACACATTACTTTCGACATGTCATGTTAAATCAATATGACGATGTAATTAAGCTTTCCAAAAAACACTCGTCACTACATGTTTTCCGAAGTATTGTCCAATAGCACGATTTTTAGTAACCGGTTACTCGCGTACTTTTCCGATACCCGGTTACTAGGATGATTTTTACTATCACCGGAACATTTGAAAACACCCTTGCTCACCTTATACACTTAATATAGTATCTGTACTAATTGTAATGTCTCTAAAGTTTAACTTCCTTCATATACCAGTATATATTAAAAACAAACAACACCCGCACTGTATGTGAACCTTATTTACACTTATAAACAAACGGCTTCTAAATAGATTGATTTTATTCTTGAATGTCACTTGAACAAGAAAAGATTGCTTTCGTGAAAGGAAATATTCCGTAAAAGCTTGCTGTTTGCGTGTATTAAAATATTTCCTAATATGAAATAGAATAAAACTGAAATTCCAACATCAAAAGAAAGATAGTTGACAATTATTTAGACAGAATTCTCAAGATTGAAAATGTGTACGTATAACCTTTAATCTCCATGCTAAATGTAAAACGTACAATACTATCATTGATACCGTGGGACAGGAGGGGGGATGTCAAATTGATAAATATAACACGGATGCTGAAAAATCAAAATAAAAGTATAATAGAAAAATTCACTCCTTGACATTACCCTCGCCTCAATTAAAAATGTTTCCACTACAATTTTCTGTACTAATTAAATTGTTACAATGGTAAAAGAAAGAGTTGTTTAAAATAAAACAAGAACAACATCGTTTTATACACAATGAAATCGAAGGGTACCATAATTCAGTAACTTGGAAATTAATTCACATAAACAAATCATAATAACTACCAGAATTAAAGATTTGCAAACGTAAAATAAAATATAAAACAATGTCATTCCTCTATCTTTTGCAACCGTATAAGTTATACATCAACATGTAATTATAAAATAACAAAGGGGAAAACATTGAAATATGTAGTCTGACTTCCAAATTGCTAATGATTATAAAACTGGGAATTAACATGTATTTCTTAAAGAGAAGAAATCGGAATCATGACCCGTTGTTTTACAATTAACTGACAAATCTATTCGGTACATCAGTCTAGTTTTCAAAAATAGTTAAAACGTATGGATACAATGTAAAGAAATATTAAATGTGAAACCAACATAATTCATTCCACATGTATGTGCAAAATTATAAAACTGATTTCATGTGTTAACTTGAAAACAAGAGAAATATGAAAATCCTCCGTGGTTTTAAATATGCACTGTGAAAAATTAAATGTCTTCAAAAGTACATTGAAAATATATGTATATTTGAAAAATGCAGACTACAAGCTAGAAATACATTATGCTACTATACTATAATGAATTAACGCCGCTTTTTAAACAGAGAAATATTTGTTGTTGTTTTTTTTTTTTGACAAATTTTTGACAATCTGGAGTTAATCGACAAAATCTAACCATGCATTGAACTTGCTATCAAATGACAGCCACTTCACTCTATATTGTTCCTTTCCATTTACTTTTCTTGATAATTTTCTCAATGTCACAAATCTGTTCTTCGTCTTTTTAATTTTGAGTCACAGTGTCAATTTGATCATTCTGATCTGGGATTTCATCATTCCTTAAAATGGCAGGTTCAATGGCATCGATATTGGCAGGAGGGGTTTCGTTAAATACATCAAATCGCAAGACCCCCTATTTAACCTGTTAATGTGAATTCTGTTCTTAATTGCCTTTCCATCTGAAAGCCTCCACAATTTTACATGAATCTGAGAAATTTTCTCTGATATAAGGTAGGGTCCCACCCATGGTCTTAGGAATTCCCTGGGGTAACTACAGGTTTGTACAAGAAAGCTGTATCCCCTACACTGAATTGTGGGTGATTAGCTTTTTCATTAGATGTTTTAACCATTTTCTTTTTTCTTTCAACAACTTTTTCTTTCGCAAATACTTTTGCCTTCTTATGTCTCTCTAATACTGGACCAATGTATTGGAGTGAATTTACATATTTTACTTTTACTTTGATGTTTCAGAATCTATGTTATATTTATCAATTTGACATTAACTATTCTTCTTAAAATAAACATTTACAAGAACCTATCAGTACTCACATAAAGGATATATCCTAATTTCTTTACTTCTGACTGATTGAAGAGTTTCTTTCGCCTGACAGCTGTATCGGTTGTATTTGACGTCTTTGGAGACGTTAAATCTGTAAATCTCACTGATCTCATGTTCAAGTTTGGTGGTGCCGTTGACAAACCATGAATATGAAAGTGATGGGAATTTCATGTAATATTCAGGAGCAGAGGTTGATCTACTTTCACATTTCAAGTATGTGGGATATCTTAGGCTAACGTTTCGGTCTCCTCTTATGATGGGTTGCACGGGTTTTCCTGAATAAAAGCCAATCAAATGTTAGCCCGAGGATCATGAAAACATCAAAAAGCTCGAGTCAAAATCAGTACATTAAGGAGGGATTCTTGTCTGATTTCTGACTAGACGATATATTCCAAGTATATCTGCTTGTATGTCTTATAAACTTAGTTGTAATGTATTTAAAAGATCATATTTTTCTTTACTCATCATAATTGTACAATTTTAAATAGAAATGGTAAACTGAGTTTGAAATCCATAAGGGACTATATTTTTGGCACAACTGCGGCGTATGAAAATATCTCCTTTTCTGCCTATCAAAATCACTTACAGAACATTACATGTGGTTAATTTTTTTAAACAATCAAAGACTTAAAGTAATTTTGATATGTAACTAAAATTATAAATAATGCCCTAAAGTTTTAAAACATAGCAAATAAAAATGATTTTCTAAACAAACTACAATCTTGTTAGCTTTTGAAAGTCACCAACCTTAAAAGAAATTTGAGCAAAAAATCAGTAAAAATGTTTTTTTCTCTCTGACGAAACAGTCAAAGCTTTTTGTTTTTGTAGCATTTTGTATATTATATGACTACTTTACCATATGTATAAATAGGAAATATTTAAATATAAGAAGTATATAAAAATAACTAATATATCCTAAAAAATTAAGAAAAACAGAGGAAATCCGGATTAGCCAATATCTTTTTAAGTTAAATAATGTCAATTAATTTGATAGAATCATCTTTTTTTGCAAAAAGAAAAACATTTTATCTTTTAAAATAGAAGTAGGCATCACATGATCAGTAACAGTAATTTTTTACTCTAAATGTCAAGGAAAATGATAATGACCTTGATCTGACCTTGTTTCTAAAATAAAACGGTCAAATTTAATCTAATTGATACCATCACTTAGTGATATTGTCTTCTTGAATCTATGAAAATTTCATTAATTTTTAAATACAAGAAATATGAGTAGAATAAGAGAAGAACCCCTCCTTCAGCAAAAATGTTAAAGAAGTCATAATGTATTTTCATATTTCTGTTGTTTTAAAATTTGGAGATTCTCTTCACTAGTAATGATATCTTTTTTTGAGTTTCTTGTGTGTTTTTCAGTGTCTTATGTTCTATTCTTGTGTTTTATATGTGCTTTTGTTTATATGCGTTTAAGTTCAGTATGTTTTGTCTTATATGTACATGTACATATCATTTTTGCTAAATAGGTTTCTCTCTGAACAGTCGGTAAAAGGGCTTTTAAGCTTATTTTTGTTAAATGTATATAATAGGTCTATAAATTTTAAATAAAAATTTATCTACTTATTTTGTTAATTCACCAGTAAAGATGAATGAAATACTTTTGACTTGAGTCTAGGATGATCCTGATGTTTAGAGAGGTTTTGACTGTTAACTGTATTGCATCTTTTCAGATGTTAAGATTTTTCCTCAAGGTTATTTTTAAAATCTTGTTTTAAGGTCAAGATCTAGTAAATGACAGGTGCCTACAGATTTTTAAATCTTTGCATATAAGTACGTTATTGTTCCCTCCATAGCCTGATTAAAATGAAAAAGGGTCAATCGGGACTAGTTTTTTAGAAAAACGCTGTCAAGTGATGGCCATTCCATCACCTTTGGTCAATAAATAACGTAAGAAATTCATTTCGAAAAAATAGGTTTTTTCAGTATTGTCTGAAATAAACAATTCCAGAATGCCTACAAGTTTACAAAAACGATTACAATGAAGATTAATTAATTTACTTTATCAAAAGATCAAATTTAACATAGGTATCCAGGTTACCTTTTAAGATTTTTATGTTTAAAACTGTTCAAAACGTCTCAATTAACAACGTATTTTCGACGTCACGAGTTACGCTGTACATGTAATAAAGTTGACGTTACGCTCGATGCATAGATATTGTACGTTTAAAATAAAGTTCATTTCTAATTATGAATTTCGTGTTTGCATTTATTTTATTTTATTTTTTTTTTTAAAGACAACACCAGATCTCAAGTTTATATATATATATTTATTTAGCGGACAACAAATTTATTTTTTTGTGTAATCTTTTCTAATATTTGAACTCTATTAGTAACTCTGGGTTTTCCGTTCTGTCCTTTTTCCGAAAGGAGCAATGCTACTCCATCTGGGCCCCCGCGTTTGTTTGCTTTTATCAAATCCGCAAGAGTCAACCCTGAACCAGCGATTTTTTCTTGCATCGATTTGCTTGTTACAGTGGATAACGGCGATAATGTCGCCAAGCATTGTTTCTTCCTATGTAGGTATGATAAACTTTCCTCCACATATGATGACGTAAAAGAAAATGACAGGAATTGCTCGAGTGATGTGTTTTCATTACAAATAAGCTCCTGGAGAACAAGTACATCACTCATAGCGTTGTTAAGAATGATTTTAGATAGGCTCTTTTGGGTATGATTTTCATGTTCGGGATATTTTTTTCTGAAGTATGGAAGGGTATCTACAAATCCAACAACCTTTTCCTTCAAATTAATCATAGAATTTTGATAATCCTTCATTGAAAGCAAAGTTTGTATCAAAACTTTCGAATCAAAATTTTTTCCGTTGTGCGCAAAAAGCAAGGATTTTTCAGGTAACCACTTTAAAAATTCAGATATAGTGTCCTCCAAATTGTCTGTATCTACGACTTCTCCATCGTAATAGAGATTGTTGCCATGCTTTTCAATTTTAGTGACTTTTGACGCAGCTACAGAAATTTGTTTCTGTGGTAAAATATATTTATTAAACTGCCTTTCTCCATTAACTGCGGATATTTGGGTGATCTCTGAATCGTATCCTGAAAAAAATATTACAGATCATTTGAAATATATTAATAAGGAGTATAAGAAGATTGTCAGTACTAGATATAAATATTTCTTACACACACACACACAGAAAAAATTTAAAAAAAAAACATAAAAGGGGGGATGGTAGTGGTCCTTGTGGAGAGGCTATTGCACCAAACAATAAGGTCATATAAATCAAAATTGCTAACAAAAAAAAATGGCGAGTGGGCGGATTTTATTTTTTATAATTGAAAATATGATTATAAATTTTTTATACAAAATTTTGACATTATTATAATGCCAATATGGATAAAATTCTCTTAATATCTACAGATTCTTCTTATACAAAATATTCACAGTGTAAATCGTGTGTCACAATGTAAATGATTTCTGCAAATAAAATAGGAAAAAAATTGGAGCGATTTTATGTAATGAAAAAAAGGTTATATTTGAATTCGCTATTATATTTATATTATAATAATGAATTTACAAAGTAGCTCTTCGAAGTATCAAATAAAAAGAAACTGTGTTTGCCATAGAAATTTTTGGTGAACTTGAAAGACATCCGTGATTGTCATTTGACCAGTGAAATAAGAAATATAGACATATTTTTAGCAATACTAAAAATTGAATTGTCATGACCACTTAATAAAATTAAGAAATTTAATTATACATAATTTAATTCAGCTCTTTACAGTGCTTTGGTAATATGAAAACTTCCTTTTAATCATAAATCCAATTTCAAAAAATACTTTAAGTTTTCCTATGCAACACAAAAACATATCCCGTAAACATTTTTTTTTTTAAATTTCTTTGTTGAACGTAACTGTTATTTTTGCTTCTCGCCATTAGAATGGTATTGCCTGTTTCTATGTATATCGCGCATATCAGACAGGCAAGCCAATCTATTCTCGCCATTCTCCTCGTGCTCCTGTGCTTTAATACAAAAGGGAGACAACTCTAAAAACTTGACAGATCTATGCCAACTCTTTTTTTTATGCTATTGACACAAAATATCAAATTAAAAAACAAAAACAAACAAACAAAAACAAAGCCAACGAGGCGAAGCTTTCAGAGGGGCGGGCGGGGATGAGAATAAAATTTTAATTTTATCGGTCCTAAATAACCTACTAATTTAGAGATTAGTTTTTATAACATAGTCATGTACTTATTTTTATTTTCAAATAAAATTCAGTAAACGACAATATATATAATTCTTATGTATAGTTTTACCGAATCCTGTAGTTTCCAGATCAAATACTACCACATCCGCGTTCTTAGCGGATTCAAAGTCAATGCAAGTCTGTGTAGGTGGCTCCATCTTATCAGGGATTGTCTGTATTGAATCAATATCCGTAACTATTAAGTCTACCGATGGTGAATATTGGACACCCTCCCGAATTTCTTTGCTTTTTGTAGATTTTATTTGTACTGATTTTCGCATCAATCGGCGTCTCTTCGCTTTCTTTGTCTGTTCCCGATTTTTTTCTGCCTTTCTTTTCTTATCCATTTTCTCATTGTGTCGTATTGTGAACTTCCCGGGCGATAAGCCGTGACGATTATGAACCTTTAATTTTAAGAGGTACTTCATGCTTTTGTGAATAAATTTCATACTTAAATAATTATCAATAAACAATACAGTATCAGTGGTTTTGTAATATTGATACGAGAGTAATTATTTCTGTTCTAAATATTTTTTCTTCTTTTTGAGTCTAATAGATTGTTATTTTTTAACTTGAAATATTCAAAATCATAAATTCATTTTTTAGGAAATAAATTTAACAATCCGGGGGACAAGCACTTATTTACCTGACTGATGTATTTCTGAGAGACTGAGTCTCTCTTCAAGTTGTCTCCTAAGAGATCTTTTCCATAGGGCAAAGAACTGTGTTTATAATTTGACGGGTCTTTTAAGTATCCACACCAATGAGAGTCGCAATGGGAGTGATCCCCAAAGGAATGTGGAACAATTGCTCTGATGCTACTTTGCAAGCCTTCTGGATTTCCTTTATTTTGGGAAATTGCGTATGAAACATCTTTAAGTAAATAATTGATCGTTTTTGTGGACAACGACTTGTGTTTTTCTTGAAGTTTATAAAGCGCATTTGAAATATTTTTGCGTACATGATTTTTGTCACTTAGTTTCCTTATATTAGGATCTACAGTTTTTTTCATCCTTGAAATTGTAGTTGAATCGTCATCCATAGTAATTTTCGAAATGTTAAACCCTCTGTCTTTTAAAGATTTAGCCATATCAATAGCTAATGCAGATTCCATTGCTTTTGAGCTGCCATTGAAATTTTTATTACACTCATGATCATGAGTTTGGGTAAATAAACATTTCCTGCAGTCCGTGGTTTTGTGGTCAAATGCGACAATTTTACCAGTTTCCACACCGATCATCGTAGCAGTTGCTTCAATACAAAAATCAATAAAAATATAAAAATTCAATATTTTAATTGGAATTCTTCTTAGGGGTCTATCGGATAATTGTTGGGAGGTTTTAAATCTTTAAATCTAATCTTTAAGTACCTGAATGACTATTGTACGACCGTCCGCTTCCGCGTTTCTGCCACGCAGCATCGAAAGAAATATTAATCGGACTTGTATCATCTTCATCATCAGGATCTTCTCTGGACTTACTAAAATTTAAATAGTACATTATTTTCTGAGAGCTTTCTGTTTAATTTATATTTCATCTAATATTTTTTTTTTAAATTAATTTCTTGGGGGGGGGGGGTGTTACAGTTGGCTAAATGTTATTTAGTGTTTTTTTCTATTTTCTTTTTTTAATTTTTTAATAAACGAATGAGCTGAATCATTATTATATCTTTTATATAAAAACAAGGATTCCAAAATAATAATTCTTTCAGTGAATACATACGATGTCAAGTTTGCTTCTTCCAATAAAGCTTCATCGCACGATTCATTTGAATAATTTCTCAATGTTGCGCCAATTTCGTTTTCTCTTGCCCGCAACGTGCTTGGGTGAATTGAAGGTGAATTTAGAGCGGTTAGAAAATTTGAAACTTGATAAGGTCCTAGTCCAGCATGATCCATAGCTAAAATAATTATAATATAATTTTTTAATTCTAGTAATGTTTATCGTGTTGTGATGCTAGTATTCATCTTAAATATTTAAATTGTAATAAATAATTTGCAATGTTATCTTACTTTTCTTACTTAACACAAAGATCCTTTTCAATTAATTTGTTAAAATATATATCAATACTTTAAATTTATTATCGTACGAACCTAGGCCACACTTCGTATTTACGTCCCATATTTTCATTCCCTTGACAGTGCCACTTGATCGATGTTCCTTTCCAGTATATATCTTTACTACTTTTTGACACATCTCACATTCAATATATAAAATACTTCCCAAACCGTAGATTCGTTCTTTTTTGCAGAAATGAAGATGAAGTGGCGTTGAACAGTTTGGGCATGATTTTAACTGCTCTGATAGATATCTCAATTCCACTATTCTTTGCCCGTCTCCCCAGTCTTCACAGATCTCCTCTTCATTCTCCGAACTAGGAATTCTAACTTTTTCAATAAATTTTTCATACCATTGAAATTTTCCTGTAGACGTAAATCGACCCTTTTTGTCGCGAACATGTTTAGATTCCATCTTAATAAAGCACCATGATTTTTACGTCATGAACTTAAATGTGACGTAATTTTTAAAAGATATAAAAATTCCCGAAAATTTGGCAATCAAATTTTGTGGGAAAAGGCTATGACGTCACAAAGAACCCAGCGTCATGAAATGTAGTCAGAAATCATTTACTAGATCTTGACCTTAAATGAACCTTTTCAAAATAATTTAATTTGTCGAAACTGGATACGTGTAGCACTTTGAAGATAAAGCCATTCGTTGGTTCATCGTTCACATCTTAAATGTCCAAAAATACCAGAAAAATATGCATTCTAATCAACTCATTAAATGCTTTATTAGGCTTACCAGAAACAGTGAGAACAACTCCACTTTCTCCAGACCAAGCATTTTCTTTTGTAGGATTTCCTACGTAATATCCGGCATCTTCCACTGTTATGTTTCTCACCTCAAATAGTATATTAGTAGAATTATATGGTCGGGTGTGGAATACATACTTTTCAGTTGATGGCAGAATAGCATTGTCTATCTTTATTATTTCTGATACTGAATCGTTATATACATGAAATATAAAGTAAAGTCCAGTTCGCGGAAAATATGTAGCAGTCCATGAAATGTTTCTTGATTCTCCCTCCTCAGATTTTATTGTGTTGACTAAACAGGAAATTGAGAGTTAGTGCAAAGAGAAAAAAAACTAAATTTGTCTTCTTGAACTATGTTAAAAAATGAAGGAAAAGACATTGACATTAATGATTGATTTTATTTTTTTTGTATTTTACTCAGACAGAAATCTAGAAATGCACCAGAACCCATGCTAAACTGTGCACAATATGGCGAATTACTTTGTTAATAAAATCCATTTGTAGTAATTATATCAAGCATGATTCGTTAATTATGTGAACTTAATTTTTTAAAACTTCTCCAGCACTAAACAAAATAAATCATTACTTACAAAAGGGGTTAATCTGAATTTCTTGACTTTTGTCTGATTCTAGAGATTCTTTTGCCTGACAGCTGTATCTGTTGTATTTAGCGTCCACAGACACATTAAATCTGTAGGTCTCTCCAACCTCTTTGTCTAGCTTGGTGTTGTTTACAAACCATGAATACGATAATGGCGGAAACTTCTCGTAATAATGAGGGGCAGACGTAGATCTACTTTCACATTTCAAAATGGTATCGTTTTTCGCTGTGATTTGAAGGTTTGCTCTTATGATAGGCTTAAGTGGCTTACCTGAATCAAACATTTAAATGATGATGTTGAAAGCAATGAAACGTGAATTCTGACTGATTGTATCTTTCAAATAAGTGTATATTGCAAGTCTTATTTTCTTAACTTTATATATATTACTGTAATAAAATTGTCTAGTTTCTGTCTCATGTATTTTTATTACAACTATTTAAAAAGACATTGAATGTATGGAAGTTTGCTACCTCAAACAATACAAAGAAAAATACTGACATGGCAAACATTCATAGTACATGTCCTGGATGCTCAAGGAAACAAATGCATTCAAATTCATTAAATGATCTAGATATTTTACCAGAAACAATGAGTATAACCCCTCTTTCTCCTGAAAAAGCATCTGTTTGTGCATCACTTCCTCCGTAATATCCAGCATCTTTCACTGTTATGTTTCTAACCACAAATAAAATGTTTCCAGAATCATAGGGTTCCCTATGGTATAAATATTTTTCCAAGTTCGATGAAACTGGTTGAGCTGCATCAATTATTTTCATTGGCTGACCGATATATGCATGAAATATGAAGTAATGACCACTTCTGGGAAAATTTTGAATAGCCCATGAAATGTTTTTTGATTCTCCCTCCTTAGATTCTACTGTATTTACTGAAATGAAAAATGAAAGATAGTAATGCATAATTATTTGGTATAGTATTTGCATACGTTTTTAAATTATAGTTAGAAATATTTTCATGAAAAAGTACGAGAGGTGATCAAAAAGTTCGAGAACTGATTGAATTACTTCCATGACAGATATAAAATTAAGTTTTAGTGTTTATTATTTCTTAAAGTCTCCAATGCACCAATGCGCGAATCAAGTGATCCAGGCGGTCACGTAACATGCTCCGTAGCGTTCTGTTCACGAAAAAGATTTTTCCGAGTCTTATACTTCTTACTAGCATGCAAGTTATTTTTTTTTATAACAAGAACAGTCCATTTGTCAGAAATGGTCAAATCTCGCCAATAGGATGGGTGGAAAAAGGATATTCTTTCCCAGAATGAGTATTGTGACCATCACAATCCGAATCATATGTATTAAGAGCGTCATTTTTCCAATGCTGATAAAGTATGGGCGACTTTTTCTACCATATCTGATGTGTTTAAAGTCTAAAGTGATCGATAGGGATTCAATAATTATAGTATTGTTAAGATGTTCAACTATTTTTCAAACTGTAACTTTGCATTCTTTCATAACAAATTGCTCAACCAAGAACACATCTCTTTCCCAGCTTGCTTTCACTCGGCAACAGAACAAACATCATTATTAATCATTACCCTTCCTTTTCTAAAACAATCAATCCAATTGATGATTGATTTTTCTGGCAAGTCTTTTGTCTTCATAAATCTTTTACAAATTATTATATGCTACTGCAAAGGATGTTTCAAGATATACGTTAAATTTTTCAGCCGTTCGTTGCTCGAGCACGATTGAGTCAATCATTGTTTGTCACAAGTCTCCTACATATTGACGTCATTTTCACACTGTGACGTCACAAACACGGTAAAAACATTATAAAATTTGCTATTTATAGAAAATGTGTATGAATATTTGTGTGCCGAATTTCATTCTGATCTAAATTGTGGTTTTGTAAATATAGAGATAGTTTGCAAACTTTTTTATCACCCCTCGTAAATGTTTAAAATATATTTTGTTTTTTAATTTTAGATCTCTATGATAAATGATTGTATGAAACGAGCAGCTATATAACATTGCTTGGCAAGTACGTTTGAAAATAATCTTTTCACATTTCGCATAATATATTCAAATGATTGATTGATTGATTGACTTTATGTTGTTTAAAGCCCCGTTCGAGAATTTTCACATATAAAGAGACGTGACCATTTAGCAGTTAAGGGTTTTAAATCTAAATTTTACTATGCACTCTGGGCCATTTGCCTGTGAGGGATCTTATCGTGCTAAAGCCTGCAAATCACGGGGCCTCGGGAGAAACCCGCAACTTTCCTCAATTTTTCGAGTGCTTGGCGAAAGGACAGTTGCTACTTTTTTGTTGAATTCTGTAAGTCGATTGCGAACTAACGACTTTCCGATCACGGAGCGAGCGCTCTACCAACTAAGCTACCACTACTAAGTCAGAAACGTACTGACATTCCCATTTTTTACTGACAAACTTAGATAATTACTGACAATGTGCTGTCTTTACTGCAAAACTTAGACAATTACTGACCTTTTTACTGCGGGTGCTGATAAACTTAGAAAAGTGCTGACAATCTTAATCGGTGCTGATAAACTTAGACAATTACTGACCCGTTTTACTGTCCCTGCTGAAAAACTTAGACAAGTGCTGACATTTACTGATAATTACTGTCCCTATTGTTCTCGCTCTCGGGGAGGCTGCAGTGGTATGGAATTGATTTGTTTTTTAATCTTAAAGAGGGTTTATTTGATCTTTTAAAAATAATTTTTATAACTTTGCCCCAATGATATTTTTAAAAGCTCCTACGATCAATTTATAGAATTATTTGAAAATATTTCATAAGGAAAAAATATAAAGCTTCAGAACCTTTCAGCAGATAAGCAATTTATAAATTATTTTTAGAGGCGTTTATTCGGAAAAAATTGCGTTTTACAGGGATCTTTTCTTCCTTATTATTATTATATATTCCCTATAATGTACATGTAACCCCCCATTTTGTTTATAATTACATATTATAAACGGTGGGGCCGGGGGGGGGGGGCTTTTCTGAGAATAGTCTTTTGGTGTAGTTTTCATATGTAAATTTTGATGTGGACGCTCCCCCCCCCCCCAATTTGTGTGCTGTACAGTCAAACATACCCAAATTCCAGCATTTGAAAGAAAGAAATAAAGAAAACATTCTAAAAAATTAGGTACCCCTCCCCCCGAAATAGGATATAATTTTTTTTTAGTTTTTTAAAGTTTGGTAGTTCACTTTTTATGGCTACAGGGTTGTATTGATATTCTTCGATCCTTGATATTCTTTGATTAGTTAGTAATTCTTTTGAATAAAATGCATGTACATCTTTTAGTTGATTTCCATATCTGGGATTTCTGGATCTCTACATGAGAGTATTTTTTTAGGGTTAATTATTACTGTAATGATTTGTAATGCACGGCAATTCATTTGTTATTAAGTGATAAAAAAAATAGATAAATGAGCTATTACAAAATAATAAATTCAGCGGTTTGAGACAAAATATCATTAATTCGTATATTTTAACTTGGATTCAAAATGATACATATGTATTGACAATTCTTGCTTTCAAGTTAAGTAAAATACTCCTTGAATTGCTAATCTTATATTTTCTTATATTTTCAAAAGTTTATTTGTTGATGCGGCATCTTGAAATAGAATGTTGCTAGAAATCCATATACATCCTCCTATCAAATAGAATGTTGCTAGAACTTCATACCCATTTTCCTATCAAATTTAAATAGGTGGGGGTGGGACACGTACGATCTTTAATAAAGACGTATTATAACATAACAGTAGCCGATTTCCTAACATAATAGCAAACATACTTGAATGTTAGAATAATACTGTTGGGTTTAATTAGTACTTAAATTTTCGAGATCTGTGAAAATTTTGAGCCAGAAACAATCATAGTATGTAATTTTTTATTTTGTGCGAACGATTGATATGTCAATAAAATCGATAGAATTATTTTGATATGTTCTCGCTTGATTGAATGGTAAGGTTTTGATGTCGCACTGAGGTGTGCACATTCTGTTAGTTTTCACAAAGATGCATGGTGCATTAGATCACGCAAACATATAAATATTTGTGTCTCTAATTAGATATTGTATATTAAATGACAAAATGCTTAAATTAAATCATATTTACACGTGAAACTGATGATCTTCATACCCTCTATCTCTATGATTTTAAAAAAAGTTTTAGATAAACTTTTTTTAAAAGAAATTAATTTCTTTTATCTATTGTAGTAATTTAAAATTTTATTTTCCGTAGATTTATTTAATGAATTACCAGCAAAGGTTTTATCAAGCTCAACGCCAATTCATCAAAATAAATAAATAAATAAATAAATAAATAAATAAATAAATAAATAAATAAATAAAAATAAATAAATAAATAAATAAATATATCGTTTCATAGCGTGGTCGGGAACTTTGTTCAGTATATAAACAAATTTGATGTTACAATAATACTGTGCGAATTATTCGTCCAAAATGATTAAAGTGTGTTAGCTGATAACCGGCAGAATTACAGAACTATTGAACACACAGTCGGAAACTCTGTGAAGCACCCGTGTGTAGAAGAAATCGCCTGAGGCGATCCGAGTGTGTACGGTAGCGAACATAAGACAATAGGTGTCACTGCTGAATTATACAGAGGGGCACTCGCCGGATATCACAGGATGTTAGTTACGCAACATTACGGAAACAGGTAGACTTCTCTGTTTTTCAACACAATTTTGGGCAATTCAACAAATACATACGCAATCTACAATCTCTTACCCTCTATTTAGAATAAAATAAAATACTCTTAAAACATTGCTGTGACGTCATGCCTTTGTTCTTGCACTCTAAAAATTTACCTGTAGCCGTCCGATAATAATAATTAGCAGTCCAATAATATATTATCGGACGACAGTGATAACAAAATCGGACAGTAGTTAAAAAACAACAACTAGAGTGAAATCAAGGTTTAATATGTCCAGAAACCAAAAAAAAAGTCAGGGAGAAAAAATTCAGGGAAAGCGAACGCGAGGAAATTAAGTTGTTAAAAATAGAAAATCCAAGAAGAAACTGGAGTTTTAACCTTCCTCAAAAGTAACACTTTCTATTCGGTCTTTTGCAAAGCGTTTTCGATACAGCACTGTGAATAAGCCAATTTATTATTATTTGATTTTGAATCTACAGAAATGAACTTTATTGTGTTTGAAAACTACTCACTGTAGACCGTCACCTGACCAGTAGCAGACAGGTAGATATAACCCTGAGGGTATAATTATCACATCTGGGCCTGTACAGAATGGCATCAGTCAGGATCAAATCATCGTTATCTCGATTAAATAACAAGAAACACACAAAGATTTTTAATGAAATGGATAGAGACACAAAGGGGTGAATTTCTCGTGTGAAACACGTATTAAGTATATTGTTAAACTTTTCTCTCGCCATTCGATTTGGTCCCTCGCTTCGCTCGGCACCAAATCTCATGGTACTCGTGAAAAGTTTACCAACATATACTTGGACTCCTCCAGGTAACTTTTGGACATTTAAATAGCAATGTTTTAAGTAAGATATATGCCTCATACAATTCTATATGTAAAATTATCAGACTGTTTTCGGCTCTAACGGGCCTCAAACAGTCTGATAATTTTACATATAGAACAGTATTCGGCATATATCCATTACTTAAAAAAATATACTAGATTTGTACTATATAAATTAAATGAAAGATTAATTAAAAATAAAATGTGAAAATCCAATTCGGGAAAGACACAAATTTTTCAGATTTAGCTGTGATTTAAAACAAAAAAATTAAATTAATTAAAAGGGGGAATCCTAAAATATTGCAAAAATATGGATATCAGGCTTTTCTTCCTAATATGTTCTGTTAAGACGGGATAGTGTGCGATGTACATTTTAAGGGAAGGTAAAGTGAGAGAACAATAATGAATGTGTTGTCGATTGCACCCATGTAAAGTTTGTTTATCAAAAAAAAAAAAAAAAAAAAAAAAAAAAAAAAAAAAAAAAACTAAGAATAATCAGGGACCTATATACTAATAGTATATAGGTCTTTGGAATAATTATAGGCACATTTTCTAAACATTTAGTAAACAATTAAAGAATAATTATTCGAGAACAATTTACAGGCAACAAGATCATAACAATAAAAACTAATATCAGAGTTATACTATATTTAAAACTATCTACATTGTTTTCACTTCGCCTGGATCAATATTGATTTTTTTTGAGACAGAGAGAAAGATCGAGAGAGACAAACATCAGCTCCAGATGGTGGGGACCTACAGTGCAAAATTTTAGTCTTATACAGAGGAAAGTGATAAAATATTAATCAAAACTGAAACAAATGAACAAATAAATAAATATATAAATACTAATAATAATGATTACGATCTTACATTGTGCCAAGTGGTCATATTTTTCGTGTAACTTGGGATACATGTTCACTAATATTTTAATTGATAAACCGTTTTCTTTGATATAATGTTTTCAGTGAATAAATTAACAAGACACAGTTTATATTTTGAAGTTCTATATATTTACTCTTGTTCAGTAGGGAACTCACTTAGGATCAATTGAAACCGGATATCCCAAACAGCGCTAGTAGAATATGACTTGTACAGATGTCAAAGAACATTTAAGGAATGAAATTACCGTAAATTATTCAAGTCTTAGTAGATTAAGATTTCTTTCAACAAGAGGTGTCTGTCCTGTTGATAAAAAAAAATACAGTTGAAACATGTATTTCCGATCGAAGAAAACAGGAAATAATGCAAACTACCGTAAAGACGGGTATATTTAGCACCCGTCTGCGAATGAATAAATTGATGAAATTTATTTCTTTAGATTGAACAGGAATAGGGATAAGGTGTAATTATTCAACACATTTATTTAAACTTGATTCACACAAAGTTAATTGTACATCGTATTCGTTATGAATTATTTTACAGATACCAATTATAAAATTCTTAGTTAAAAAAAAAAATAACTGTCTGGGAATTGAAACTTTATTTCAAAAATTAAAATAAGACTGTTTCTAAATTAAAAGTTATTAACACACAAATATTTTCACGCCACTGCAGCCTCCCCGAGAGCGAGAACAATAGGGACAGTAATTATCAGTAAATGTCAGCACTTGTCTAAGTTTTTCAGCAGGGACAGTAAAACGGGTCAGTAATTGTCTAAGTTTATCAGCACCGACTAAGATTGTCAGCACTTTTCTAAGTTTATCAGCACCGGCAGTAAAAAGGTCAGTAATTGTCTAAGTTTTGCAGTAAAGGCAGCACATTGTCAGTAATTATCTAAGTTTGTCAGTAAAAAATGGGAATGTCAGTACGTTTCTGACTTAGTGTACCGTGACGGTCAATATTCAGAGGAAAGAATTAATCCCTTCAATAATATTGATATAAAAAATCATTTGAGTTTTTAGCGATTCATTCTGTATTTTAATTCGTCAGTAAACAGAATTGACTTGATAAAAGAATATCGTTTGTTAGTATCATATGCATATCAAATGAGCTTATCTCTTTTGTTGTATTCTAAAAAAACAGAACATCATTGTTTTCTTAATTTATCTACCATCAATAAAATCAAAAACTCTTTCGATTTTACTGATATTTGTCAAATCAATTTTTAAAAATCTATGCTTTAAAGTCATCCTGATTGTGTAATTAAGCGTAATGCACCCTACAAGCAGAATTTTTTTAGGGAAGGATTCAATTTTGACATTATTAATGAGGGTATTGAAATCTCTTAACTTGAATACCACTGGTAATAGCCATCTTTTGTGGCAGTATAAAATCGCTAAAACTACTACTCGCAAAGATATACCCGGTATATAGAAATTTTTAAGGATTTCCATTCTTGCTTAAAATCAACTTATACGGTATCAATTATTGAAATTTTAATTGACCTTTGTCGTTTATAGTCAGTAAGACGTCGAAATATGAAGCAGATGAGGAAAACTCTGTGATGTCGTTTATGGCGTTTACATCCCCCAATTAAAATTAGAAAAAAAGTATTTAAAAAAATCACTAAAATATCTCTGGTATTATAACCTCAATGGGTATTTGAAATCTATATAATTAATGATGCTGTAATGAAATCTGAAACAAACTGTGGGTGTAATGAAACCCCTTAAATCAATCAGAATAAAAATACATGTTATATTGTTTCGCTTTCATTCTTACAAAAGGCACAGCTATCTTAAGTTTTAACATTTATTTTTTAAGGGAGTTACTTAAAGAAAGAATTCAATCTGCTTCTTTATCACTTGCTACATCAAAACAAACTTTTAGAAATCATATATTTCTAAATAACAGTGCCCATATGTATTGAAATGGAAATCCATTTTGATGCAGATATAATATTATATTTAACATTTTTCCTGTTTAAAATGAAGTGCAATGGTTTAGTGCATTTCTTTAACAGAAGCAACTAAAGTATCAATAGTAGTACTAAAAGTTCCTTAGACTAAAGAACTGTCAATAGACATAGATTTCAAGTATTTTGTTACTGTCGTAGGAGCACTGTTTCATCACATGTTTACCCTTTAATCCATTGGATACTACTCATTGGATATTTTTTTCATACCCCACTGCTGTGACGTCACATTGGGTTTTTAGTGAAAATGATAAAGCAAATAATGTGGAATCGAACATAAAGATGTAAACATTGAAAGTGATGTATTAAACATGTGATCTTTATCCAAATCGTTGTCTGTTTTTATTCCCTCGCCGAGGCCGGGGGTTCAAGAAAAACAGACAAATCGTTATATAAAAAAAATTATATCTACCCACAAATCATGAGGGATCCATATAATTGTATATCTGCAGATATATATTTTATTGTGAAAGGCAAAACTTCTGTTAGGGGAGAGACTATATATATATTTTTTTAATATTTCCCATCTTTTTAAAAAAAAATCAAATTACTCTATTGCTTTTTTGATACCCTACTATAATAAAAATGCATCGATATCGAACCAAGATTTTAATTTTTCTTTTTACATTTTTGGGATATTTAATTATTTCAGAACTCCAAAACCATGCATTAAATAAGTTTTGCCATTGAGCAAGAAAAATAGATTTCTAAGATAACGGATAGGTTATAAAAAAGATGGGTTCCAATTGCGCCCCGTTATTAGCAGACTTGTTTTGTTATTCATGTGAAGCAGAATTTATTTAAAACCTGATACAAGAGAAGAAGAAATCACTTGCTGTGGCCTTCAACTCGACATTAAGATATATCGACGACGTATTATCAACAATAGTTCATTCACGTAATATATCCCAGCGAGCTTGAAATAAAAGATACCACAGGGTCTGACACATTTGTTTCATATTTGGATATTTTACTAGAAAAAGACGTTAAGGGTAGCCTAACAACAAAGCTTTATGATAAACTCGATGACTTTAACTTTTCAATCGTCAACTTCCCTTACTTATGCAGCAATATACCCTTATCACCTGCATACGGGGTTAATATCTCTCAGCAAATACAATCTATCGTTAAGTCAAATGCTGACTGGCGTGATTTTCGTATCTATATCAAAAGGAAAAAAAAGTTTTATCTTTTCTTGACAAACTTACCATTGTATATCTTATCGTAATCCACGTAGCCTTCTGTAAATATCGAGGTGTTATACTCCCGTACCTTGATACTGACAGACTTGTACTGCATCACATCCTCTACTGTGTACTGGTCATCATAAACCAGTATCCATTCACTGGATTGAGAATCCTTAGTGATGATTATATCATTACGAATTGTCGAAACATTGGTCCATTTGAATATCAGCTTGCCATTTATAAACTCCGTAGATATCTTAATGTTATGTCCTAAAAAATAAAATTCAGTGTACATTAAAAGTAAGCAGTTATAATTATAAATCAATTGACATCAATAATACTGTACAACAGTCTTTTCAAAAACTTAATTATATAATTAATTATATATTAATAATTATAAAGCCAACTGGAAATTATGATGAATTTAGCAATGAAATATCTGTTAATAGTGTAATTATTTATGTTTTTTCTTTCTTAATAACATTTTATACTCTCACCCATGGAGTAAAATAGGAAATGACTTCATATTATCCTTAGTCATAAAAATCAAAGATTCTTATGGCATTGAAGTCAATTTTTTGTTTTGCATGATGATTATATCACTAATATTTAGTTGGATTTATATTTAAGGTACACTTTCAAATGAAAATTTTTATTTTGAATATCAGAGATATTAATACCTTAAATCTCTGAGCAAGTTTTAGTTTTATTGTAAATCAATGTATCATTGTTAAGTATAAATAATCAACTGTATCAATCTCAGGGTGGAATATGTTAGGTAAAACCTCGGAACATTAACTGGCAAAATTGGAAATATGCAGCTTACGTCATTTCCATCTGTTACAGTGTTATGATTTAATGAGAGACAGTGAAATGGGCGGCTACAATTCGACACGAAAGTCCGAGAAAACATTGGATTGAAATTCCAGTTTGAAATTCATTATCTTCCGAGAAAACATTGGATTGAAATTCCAGTTTGAAATCCATGTCCAATGTATTGCAGTAAAGACAGTACAATAAAAATAATTGTCTTTAAGGTTATCAGTAAAGAAAAGAATATCAGTACGTCTACGTCACAGTAGTGTTAATGGAAAATTATACTTTGGTATAATGCATTAAAATTAAATCTAGAAGGATTCTTTAACATTTTTAAAAATAATTTTCAACTTAATTTTATTTTAAAAAAAAATGCCTTTCAGATATGGTTATGGCTATAGACAAGTGTTTCATGCAGTGCCTTAGGTAATTTAAATTGGAAAATCAGAGGAGAGTTAATTACAAAAAATAATAAATTGTCCAGATAAAATTGTTAATTTCAAGATGATAAACTTTGCACTTCTTACATTTGTGTGATACATTATGTTCTCGTTCTGAACCGTTTTGAAATTCATTAAAAAATTCAAGGGAAAAAAATCTGTTTTTGTTTTAAAATTTACCTTTTAATATGTGTGTTACAAGCAAAACTGGATATTCAGAACATTTATCGAACATTTAGCAACAGCTTTTAGGGTATATATTTTATAAATGAATATATTAATACACGAAATTTTAATTCCCTTCAAAATGACCAAACTGCTTCTGAAGTTAGTTCTGTTTTAAAGCTGTGTTTAAACAATGGTAATAGGCTTATCTTTATACAGAATGGTTTACTGGAATAATCCCCAGTTTATTACTAAGCGTTACAAAAAAATGTTCATGCCCAAAACTGTCATTATGAACCAATCACTAATATAATAGATTGCTCCACACAAAAAAAAAATTAACAAATCTTTTACAAAAGAGTAAGAATATTCTTCTCAGGAATAAGAAAGTAAATTATTTGAGCACAGATATATCGGTCTCTGTTAAAGGTATCCATATCAACACTTCACATTTCGATTTACCTATGTCTTTCCTATTCTAGATTTTTTTCATTATCCTCTGGACCGACACAAAAACACAAAACATTTTCTAATGAATACACATCCATATACAAAAAGATTTATATAATTGATTATATATGAACTTTGTTATGTTGTGTTTAAAATATGAATAACTTGTGACGCGTTTTTAGACTTTTATATATTGACATTATATTCTCCTATGTTATTATATCAATTACTGTATCCATAAAAAATGTGATTTATTCCATTTTTTAATTTCTCTTCACAAGAAGCCACTATATTTAGTATATGCTTTTAACTTTAAGTGTCAGATTCATGGTGAAATCACTGAAATCACACTGTGCCTTACCTTCTATGAAACATAACATCCCAAATAAAATAAAGCACACAAGCTTGAATTTACACATCTTTCACTTTCTAAGCCAAATAACGTAGACACAATTTCAATTACAGTTCCAAGTTTCGATAAAAGCCTTGTTCTTTAAACGATATGCAATGAGCAGCTGAATTTTTGAATTACAAAGCAACAGTATTCTTTCCTTCTGCTCTGCTCTTATTTAATATATTAATTTGTTCACTAGGAAGAAAATAAAACATGTAATTAACAAGGATGTGATGTAGTATATAGTCTCAATTGTACATTTCATTCACCTACATTCTTCCTTCTCTTACCTTTTGTGAGATTTCTTTGATTTATCTCCTTTTTCTTTAAAAGTAATTTGAACGTTTTCTTCCATATCAGAAAAATTAAATGCAAACACTTTTTTCATGCAATTAAATCAATTAAATGACATTTGTCTGTAGGGCCAAATGTACTGAACATCTCCTCAACCTTATCATCGGTTGCTACATACCCAATTTTCGAACATTTTATTCTTACTAATAAGTAATGTATACGTATTTACTTCGGATTTATATTTTTAGGCGACTTTCTTTTTGAAAATAAAGAAGTCTTACGATTTTGTAATTGTTATTTTTCATGCATATTAAAACAAACAATGCAGTCTTAAAAGAGTTTGATAAGATTGCTTTACCGAATCTGTGAGCGTCCTTTATTCACATGCCTCCAAGTACCAGTGCTGTTCCTGACTAATTGATATTGTTCTTTATGAAAAAATCGAACTAATTACATATTACCAAACAGAATAACTTGAACTTAATATTTATCAGTCTGTTTTAATAAAATAAAAACTTCGTTGAAGAAATATTGTATTTCAAAAATCATTTAAGAATCATTTAATCTCAACAAAAATTATAAATAGTATTGACCAAATCCCCTTCATCATAAGAAGCCAGAGATATGACCTGGCTAAGATTTGGTCTCAGACCTTTCTGTTACAAACCATTCCGTCACCACAAGAAAAAGAAAAGAAAAAGCTGGGGCTGAAAAGGACAAGGAAAATTATCCATACAAGGTTAGACGGAATTGAGTCACCGAATACACATTAATTTTTGCTTAACTTTCTCACAAATTGACTCAGCTATATAGTAATCTTCTAGATTTTATAACTGGTAATTGTTTGTCCAGACGGTGGAAGTTAAGATATGAAAGAAACATGTAAGGTCTATTTATTTTTGTTCAAAAATATTTTGCATATTATCCTTGTATGTTTTTCAAAATTATTATTTAAACCTCTTTATTTTCTTATCTATGTAAAGTTATTTTGGAATGAAACGACAAAAGCATCTTACTGCCATCAATTTATAGAAATTAAAAATCAGGTCAAGATCTTTTATATCGATAATTTACTGATTGTGTCCAATAAACAACCCTACCAGACAGACCTAATTCAAGTATTTATATATGGTTTGCTTATGAACAAGAATGATTATAAAAGGCATTAAGATATTGTCAAGTGTAAACATTCATATTTATGTAAAATATTCCTCCTGGTTCTATCTTTCTATCATGATTCTGTCCTTTTCCTTCTACTTCTTGTTGTATATCTATTGTACTTCGATTCAGTGAGGTGTTTATTTCATTTGTTTGTAAGAAATGTAACTTTAGTAGTTTATAAGCACAGCAATACGTCATATTTAACACATATAAACAAAGGGGGATTATGCAAACTGTTGTAGTGTTACTTTATATTATTAAATGAAGACACTACACAGCCGTTTATCGAATGCTTTTATTTACACTATGTACATACAGTAAGACAAGCAAGCTCAGACTGAATTCTGATGGCTAAGGCATGGCATTATCAAATTACAAGTATGAATGAAATATCAGAACTTTCCCAGGATAAAACTGCAAGGTTAGCAAACACGTGTGGTCTATAACGGAAACGCTTGTCAGATCCAATAAACAGGATATATCATTACACCTTCCCTTTGAGATTAGAATTTACAAATTTAAACAAATTATATGCCTTAGCAAAAACCAATTAAATTAACAAAAGTTTTATCAAGAAAGAATTTGAAGTCAGAGGTTCAAGCACATGACCTACCGTTGGAGTGTTGTCTTTACCACAACCTCTTACAAGAGAATATATATAGATATGATTACACAGGACTACACTGGATATATGTATGCATAATTGTCTGATACTAATAAGTCTTTACATTGCAAAGTCTTTGAATTTCTCAGGTACCCTTACTATTCTGCCGCTGCGCGTTTTCTGCACGGGCTTGTTATCGGCCTGCGTGTTGTCATTAACTGCAGGGTTATCGTTTTCGATCTCGGTGTTAATTTCTTCACCAGGTCTGCCATTTTCGCTGTTCTTTATTAGATGCCTTTGATTTCTACGGTACTCAACGCCTTCGGATTCTACGACATATGACCGTGGTTCAGGACATTTTTGTACAATCACTCCTACCTTCCATGGTTTGTTTTCGGTTTGAATGTTAACATTGTCTCCGATTTTTAGATTTGGTAGATCCCGTGCATTACGGTCATAATAAATTTTTTGTTGATTCTGCTTGTTTACAAGAGCTGTCCGAATTTTACGGGTCTTGATATGTGGTTTCAGTAATGCCTCGTGTGTCGGTAATATGGATCTCGTCCTGCGTCCGAACAAAAGTTGAGTGGGAGTTCCTACCCCATCTATCGGCGTGTTACGCATCTGTAACAACGCGAGGTTTGGATCCGTTTTACCTTCAGTTGATTTTTTCAGGATATTATTTACAGTCTGGACTGTACGCTCTGCCATGCCATTTCTCTGTGGGTAATGCGGGGACGACGTTGTATGCTTAAATCCATATTCCGCTGCAAATCTCCGGAATTCGTCACTGACGAAATTCGGCGCATTGTCACTTATCAATTCCTCTGGTATCCCGTGGCGAGCAAATATTAGTTTTAGTTTGTTTATGATGCTGGAGCCAAATGTGCTCTGCAGTTCACATATTTCGAGGAATTTTGAAAAATAGTCCACAACAGTAAGAAACGATTTTCTGTTTAGCTCAAACAAGTCGAGTCCAAGTTTCTGCCATGGTCTTAGTGTACCGATTGTGGTTTCAACGGTTGTTTGGTTTGTTTCCTTTTGTATTTGTTGCACACTCTGCACTCTGCAACCTTCTTGTCTATGTCTACTTCTCTGGCTCGATGTTTGCATTTCTCGGCTCCCATATGTCCATAATGCAGTTGATTCAGGATGTCACTTCTGAGTTTCAAGGGAA